CGGGGGGACCAGCCCCGAGCCGTCACCTGCCCGGGCACCGCGGGATTGACCCGGGCTTCGCCAGAGGCACCGCGCTGGGGGAGGAACAGTGCTCTTCTCTGTGCTTTTTTGGTTTTTCTGTTTTGATTTTTTTTTAAATGGGTTATTTTTTTGTCAAGCTCTGGCCGGGGATGGTGTGTGTGTTGCAGCGCTCAGGATCCCTCACACTTCTCTGTGTGTGGCAGTCGGTAATTGTATGGCAGTGCTCCCCTCCCCCCCCAGTGCGGCGTGACAGGGGTTTGCATGATCCGCCTCGTTTTTAATGTGCACTCCAATAATCCTCCTAAATTCGGCACTTTTTTTTCTTTTTCTTTTTTTTTTTTGTTGGTTTACCGAGTTGTTATATTTTTTGTCTCGCTTCTTTAAGAGATGCCAGAATGAAATCCAAACAAGTCAACCGGAAAAAATTCTGTTCTTTACCCTAGCGTTCCTGCAAAGGAGGAAAAAAATGCATGGAAAAAATATATTGCCACTAATGCTGACTTTGTCCCTAGAAGCAGAACATGGCTATGCATCAGTGTTACCCTTCGATAGTGACTATTCCAGAAAGAAAACAAAGGCAGGCACCATGGCCAGAAAATCCCAGAATAACAGGTAATAGACGCACCGCTTTTTCAGAATGAATCGGCAGCTTTTCCAGTGTGCCTAGCTTATGTGCAGTGCATACATGTATTAAAAATAATAACTAATCCAGTGTCTTAGTTTCCCCCATCCCGGTAGTCGCCATTTTTTCCCTGGATGGGCTTGGCTCTGTTTTGATCTCTCATATAAACACTGCCACGCGTACACCATCTCCTTAGTACTCACTGCACTTCTAAACCATCCGCCCTCACTGCTCCTTCTGCTCCACGCTCACCGACAGTGGCTTTTACTGCAGACCTTAACACCATAATCGCCACCCAGACTTCTCTTTGCATGGCACTAATTTCCCCCCCCCGGCATTTATTTATAAACCTCAGGCAGCAAACCGGCCGCCTCCCCCATCGCAGCCGGAGCAGATGCAGCCTCTGGTTGCAGCACGGCGCCGGGCTTTAGGAGAGGGAGCGTGTGCGGGGCAGCGGGGGGCACGCACCCGTGCTCTTGAACTTCTCCTGCAGGTATTGAGCAAGGAGGTGCTGGAGTGAACTTGGCCACTCCGGGGCTTCTGCTGCACTGCCGGGTCGCCAGCCCACTCACCCGCCCGCCGCATGCAGATCCGTCATCGTGCATGACTCGGTCGTTATTTATCGTGATTATCGTCCGCTTTTGTGTCGTGGTGGCGGTGGTTTTGTTGTTTTCCCCGCAGTCGCTACCTGTGCTGCGATGGCATGAGCGGAGGGTGGCTGTGCGCAGGCTCTCTGCAGCTTTGTTTGCTGCTCGGGCAGCGGCTGTGTACGTGCAGGAGGCTGTCGTACAGGGACAGTGCTGGCCCCTGCCTGGGAGCTCCTCCAGTCCTCTGCTGTGCCGGCTTCTGGGCTGCTCCGGAGAGGACCGAGGACCGTGCCCAGCGGGGCCTGCTTCACCCCGGGGCGGCGATGCTCTCCCCGGTGCAGGCTCTTGCTCTGCACGGTTGTGCTGGATGGTGGCTCCTGTAGAATAGCCTAAAATGAACTCGGTTCGCACGTGACTTGTTTTCCAAGCGAGCACCGAGTCTTGCCGGGCCCGCTCCGCTCTCGCTCCTCCAGCGGGCATCCCATCCCGCCTGGCAGCGGGCACCTGGGTCTGCTGGCGCTGGGGAGACGGGGGGCAGGCGGCCAGCGGCTGGTCGTGGGGCATCAGAAGCGCAAACCGAAATCAAAAGCTGACGAGCTCCCTCCTTGACAAAAACACGAGCTGGGGAGCGCCCTGCTTGTGCCTGCCCTGGCCGAGCAATGTGTCTTGAAGTTAACTGAGGGGGAGCAGATTGTTCCCCTGTGCCCCTACTTCAAGCAGCGCAACCATTTCGGGGGTAGTAATTGCAGCGCTCCTGCGTTTTTTGGTTCTAGTTGAATTCTTTGTCTCGTCTTGGAGCATTGAGAAGACGTCAGTTCATTTTAAAAGAGAAAGTCATCAGGAGTGGGAGGCGTGTCTTGTTTCCTGAGACACTTTGCTCCTGAAGATTTTTAATTATTTTCTTACAAAGTGTGCTCGCTGCCTTTAAAAAAAAACCCAAAACAGTTAACCAAACCAAGTCTCAAAGGATTTCTAGCTGTAAACTGCTCGTTGCATTGTACGGATTTCTTCTTTGCTGTCTCTTGCATTCAAGAAATCTTGTGTTACTTACAGAGCTATTATTCCATCGTTTCCGTTCTTAGGTCTCTTGTCATTTGCTGCAAAATAGTTATTTGTCTGAACTGTAAGCTGCTTTCAGGAGTTTTTAGGAGAGGATTTGTAATCTATCAAATACAGCAGAATTAAAAGATTTCTGGTTACAGATTTGCTAGCATTATTAAAGCTGAGACATACACGTCTGCTTGCAGTTACCTTCCTGCTTTTTTTTCCGCCTGTAGATATATTTTTACCTGTTCAGTCTTTCGCTCTGATCCTCACTCTGTAGCAGTGGCAGCCTTCAAAAACACCATCCTGCGGTACATGATGTGTGTATTTACTTCCACTTTCTTTTCTTCTTCTGGCTGCAGTGATTAGAATAGGGATGAGTGGTTTGTGTTACGGGACAGGATAATGCTTGTCGAGAAGCGGTTTCAGGGGTGGCCAGCATGAGGATGGTGCTTTGCTGGGTTCAGCGGGGGCACTGGGAAGGAGAGGCGCATTGCTCTAATGCAGCACCCTGCTATTTTGGGGATGGAGGTGCAGCAGCAGGGCTGTGTGGGCACCTCTGCGTTGCACCTCGCGACTCTGTACCCGCATTGAGCGATCGCTGCTGGGGTTTGTCAGTGAGCTTAGATTCGAGGGGGAGAAATCATCCTGATGTTTGACCATCCAGTCTGAAATGCATGAAGTGCACTGGCATCACTGGTTTATTGTTATTTGGAGCTTATAGGCTATAGGGTGCGAGCTCCAGACGGGAGTCCGAATTTTTGATAATACAGTTAAATCTTCCTAAGCAACTCAAAGATTAATAGAGGGAGACAACTGGCCAAAGTTCAGAGGATCTGGAGTGGTCGTGGGTGATGTGAACCACCGGGCAAAGTGTTTGTCCATATTGTTCCACTTCAACCATTTTCCAGGCGTGCTGCGTTTGGAGCATCAGACGCAGGCAGGCATGATTGCATCCGTATCAAAATTTACGCCTTATTATTGCATTGTTTTTCTTGCATTTAAATACATACTTAAGGCTGAAGGAGTAGGAAAGGAGCAGATCACTGCACATTTCAAAACTGCAGGGGCTTTGTTGTTGTTTTCATTATCTATTTTTGTATCCTGCTGCTTGCAGCATCTGATCAGATTAAAAAGTGAGAGATATATATAAACACACACATATATATGTATGTATACATGTTTTTTCATGCTTTTTGAGCTATACATATATAAAATCATGAAAAACATCTCCTCATTCTTGGAGAAACAGAAAAGAGGAGAAGAGGAAAAACTGTCAGATGCGAGGAAGCCTGGTGTGCTGTACCCTTCTTCTTTGTTCTGAAATTTCTCCCCCATGTTCCCTGCCTGGGGAGGGGAGAGCATGTCCCATGCAGTTCAGGTGTGGTGGGGGACCGAGCAGGGATGGATTACAGCTGCCCTGTGGTTTGGTGAGGGCACTGATGGACACCTGCTTCCTCTGCCGAGGTGGTGGTCGTGGAAGAAATCGTACCCTGAGACCTCTGTCCTCTCATCAAAGGCTGGCGAGGCCCAGACCTGCAGAAGAAGGGGGAGGAAAGCTGCCCGCCCTTTGGATGGGATGCTCAGGTTTGGGCTAAAAGCTTGCTGCCCTCTTGACCACGCTTAAGTGAGAAGTAATTTAGACAGGTTTGGACTCACGCAGGGAAATACAAGCAGATTTGCATTTAATTAACCAAAATCTATAAGCTTTCTGTCCACTGCAGGAATTTAACACTTTTGCTTTGTCCACTGATAACTCTGGATCACAGTCGGAAATGGCCTTTAGCATTTTGTTGCCAAACAATATTCTTGGGGTTATTGGTAGCAATCAGACACAATTTTCAGCCATCTCCTTTTCACTTCTACATTAAAATAATTGATTTTATGTGTTTCTTCTCACTCAGTTTCCCATAGTTTTCTCATGCCATACAAACCAAACTGCTTTGTTTTCTTTCTCTTCCCAGTTTGCCGTTTGTGTCCTCAGCTGAGATTCAGACTTGTTCCCCTCCGGTAGTTTTGACCAAAATCCTCTGGCAAATGAAACTGAATTCTTGTTTTGCAGAGGACAGGAGATCTGAGAAAGGCACACGATTCTCTTTTGGGGGGAGGTAAACCTAGGTCACATCTTCTTGTTACACTAACACCAGGTACTTGACTGCAGTATAATAAATGTCTCCTCTTCACAGAGCAGTGGCAGTAGTTCCTAAAGCAGTGTCATGCAGTCTAATAATTTTTGTTAATGCGTGGTTGGAATTAAAGAAAAGGCATAAAACGAACAGCTGGATTTACTGCGGTTGTACCTTGCAGATGTTAGGAACAACTATCCAGAAGCCGCCCCCGAGCTTGCTGTTTGATCCGAAGAAATGGATAGGTAACATGCGTGCGATGTGCCAAGGAGGAGCACGACACAAATCCGAAATTTGGTGACGTTTGCTCACGAGGCAGGGCCCTTTGGTAGAAAACCACGCCAGCCTGCAGATAACCGGGCTTTCCTGAGCCCTGGCTGTGCTGACGCCCACCAGGTGTGAGGTGGCCCAAGCTGTCCATGTCTGCCCCTGCACAGGGGAGTTCGGGCAGCCACTCTGACATGAAAGGGCCAGAAAAAAGGTAAAACGAAATCTAAAATTGTAGTGTTAGATGCCAGTCTGCTGAGGTCACGGTTAAGTTTACTTGCAGAGAAAGGAACTGGACGTTAGTGGTGCAGTGTGTTTGGCCCGTTTGTTTAGGAGCTGGTTTACAGGAGAGGGGAGCAAAATAAATGCTGGTTTATAAATACATCTCCTGTATCTATTAATTAATATTTTTGCTCATGTGTTATATAAATAGGCCTGTGTTTTGTGCTGTGTTCTGGTGAAGGGTTGTATCTAGAAAAAGATGAAAGCTGCATTTGGTGTTTCAAATAAAAACAGAGCTTAATGTCCGAATTCCTCTGTTAATGTTGGCTCACAGTGAGGGTGAACCTATGGCCTGCAGAGCACGCCCCTTGCAGATGTTATTCTGTGCCCACACAAAGCAGCTTAGGGATCAGAGCTTGATTTTTATTTTATTTTTCCTTATTTTTTTTCTTTTTTTGGTGAGAGGCCAAGAATAAAACACCACGAATCAGACTCTGCAGACACGGCTCCTCTGATTTTTTGCCTGATTTTTTCAATTCTGTAGATCCCTCTGGGTTTGCTTTCCTAAAGCTTGTGGCAGAGGGACGGCAATTGACATCCCCGTGCTTGTTTTTAAAACTGATGTGTTTTAGTCCCAGTGTCCTAGATCTCACCAACTGGTCTGTCCCCCTGAGGAACTGCAGTAGATCTGCGATGCCTGGGAGTTGCAGTGTTTGTGCAATTAAGGAAAACAAATTGCCACCATATTAGAAGCGTGTTCAGACCTCACCGTTGCGACCATGTGGCAGCACAAACTCGAATGAGGTGCTGGAGCCAGAGCTCTGCATCCCAGCTGTGCCAGTGTGCCAGGTTCCCAAATCCCAGCTGAATCTGCAGGGCTGGTTAAATTTTGCTGTGAGGAGAACGCACTCATCATTTCTAGTGGATTCATTCCATATAGGCTGTTTCTTCGACAGGCTGCAAGCAAATCTTGTTTAAAACAGGCAGAAAAAAACCAACAACCCAGGAGCAGTGAACGCTGGGCAGGATGCATGTGTGTGCTCAGGTTTAGCATTGTACCACTCCTCATCTCTGGTGATTTGGGTGGTGGGCTGTAACAATCTCAGATGCGTCCCACACGGGTTGTACATGTGGACAGGGAATTCCCTGGAAGCATACGCCAGACAAGGTTGCGGTGTATGAACCGCATGCTCTTGTGCACCGGCATGCCTGGGAGTGGGAACTGGATGCAGACACTTGATGTGTAGCACCTTGTAAAACTTCGTGCTTTGTTTGTTCTTGCTCTTTCGACCTGGACAGAAGGTGAAGTGCAGGCAGTGTGGTTCACACGTGGCCCTCCAAGTGCTGTGCGACCTTAGGTGGAGTTGTGTCCCCTGCACACAGGTTGTACAACACCCCACCAGCCCTGCCCGCACTGGAGAGCCCTGGTGCGGGCAAGGCATTTGCCCGTTTCAAGTACTTCATTAATTAGCCTGCTTCACTCCCTGTGCTGCTTTAAAAATGCATTTGTGTTGGTGACTCACAGCCTGGACCTGGCTCCTGGTAGCACTGGGAAAGAAATTTCTGTAGCATTGCTGAAATGTCCCCGCTTTTTGTCAGGAGCTGCACTGGTTTCCTTCTGACAACGTGCACCGTCTGGTGGAGCCAATGGATGGAGCAGTAGGGAAACCGGGCAGCGCACCATGCATACAGTGAAGTCTCAGCCCAATACATGTGGGCAGTTCCTGCTGGCTCACCCCTAAACTGGTAGAACATGGACTTTGGGAGAGGCTTGTCTTTTCTCTGTTAGCCTTACAATCTCAATTAACACCCGTCCTGATTGCTTGGATGTGTCTGTTGAATGTTGCATCAACCAGATGCTCAAATCCAATACCTGGAAGTCTTGTTTAGGGGTGCGAGGGTGGTGGAAGGGGACGGCTCTGGGGCTGTGCTGTGGAAGTGGCACAGCATCTTGCAAACCAACATCTGCATTCACTTGGCTCCTCCCCCTTCTTTCAAATCTTCTTTTGACGATTTATTCACAAAGAAAACGTAACTGCTGCTTTGTAGCTGGTGAACTGCTTGGCATTTGCTGAAGGGATATCAGGGCTGTCTCAGCAACAGCATCATTGCTGATCTCCTCCTCCAGAATCTGGGATTTTGCTGATGACTTTTTCATTGTTGGTTTTTCCATTTTATTCTTATTTGAGCCTTTTACTGACACCTTTCCTTCATCACTGCTACCCCCAGCTCCCCCCAGGTTTTGCCTGGAGATGCAGAACCCAATGCAGTGAACTTAATCTAGTCCCCAAAATCCTTCTTTCTCCTGTAGCTGCTTTTGAAGGGCTCCACAGACCGTTTGTCTGAAAACCGCAGTCACACATCAGTCTCTTTTATAGAAATACATACATCCATGTATCTTCTTAGCCCTGGCCTACAGCTGACCTTCTACTGAAGTAATAAAAGACTCCATTTTGAAATGGAGGTAGTGCTTGGGCTACTGGTTTGTGTGCAGACCAGGTCTTATGGGTCTTTCTCTCACTTCAGGTTGCATGAAGAACAGAAAGAACTAGATATTTTTGCACTGTACTGTGCTATAGACAGTGAAGGAGAGAATAAACAGTATTTAGAGAGATTGATCTCTTCTGAAAGCAAACCCAACAAAAAAGGAAGCCATTGTGCTTCTAATAGAGTATTTAACCTGTTTTGTAGATGGAGCAACTGCCAGGGAAATGTGAAAACTCTCGGTTTTGGTTCCTGGGTAGGGCCTGATAGTTGAGGCATTACTCAGCCTCGCTGCACCTCCTGAAATGTATGGCTGCTGCCTGTGTTTGCACACGTCAGTTAGGCCTCTGCATCCCAAAAGCTGTGTAAAGAGCACACATTCACTGCCGCTCCGTTTGGTAGCTGGCAGAACCAGGGCAGGCAGCTGTGCCCCTCCAAATCTGGCGTGGCAGGACGTGTCCCAGGCGAACACCAGGGTCACCCTTCGTGAGCCCCAGGTGCTCATTGCCTCCTCTCTACCCAGCAAAATGCTCTGTGCAGGCTGAGTTTCTTGGCCAGGGTTTCTCCTGGTGCAGCGGTCACCGTGCACACCCACCGGAGATGGGTCTGAGCTCCGCTACGGCAGGCAGCTGGGAATCGGCTGCTTACAGTGACGGTGTTCATCGTGTGTGTAATTGCCATAAAAGTCAGGGAGGTCATGGCATGGGGCTGAATCTGGGCCAGGCTGTATTTCCTCTCTCCCAGAGTCCCCCGTGAACGGTGTCTTTGTGCTTTGACAGGCCCGTTGGGGAGAATGGTTCCTCCTGAATTTACATTTTCTTTGTGTTTTCGTAAACGTTGGCGGATTTGGCATAGTGTTTGTCACTTCTCATGGAGAAAAGGTTTGAGCTATCTCAGCGTGTGTAGGAGTAGAAAATAAAAACAATATTCCCAGTAAACCCAGCCCACCTTGACCTATTAATGTAGCACAAAATATGTGTAAGACACTTCCAGTCTTGTTGCATTGGTTAGGAGCACTTACATGGTATGGGATGAATACTTGCATTACCTGATTGTGGCTCACTTGATGCAACAAGTTAAAACAATTAAATTCATAGGCTGTTCAGAAACAAATACAAGGTAATGGTTGACAGAGCCGATGTCTTGGTAACAATACTGGGATGCTTCCCAGTGAAAAAGGATTAACGTCAGTGCTGAACCTCATACGTGTTTGAGTTTTCTTCTACCTGCAGAGGGGCAGTTCACTTAATTCCTTGCAGGATCAGGAGCTGAAATAAATTGCTTGTGGATTTGCTCATTGGTTATCTTTTTCCACGAGCTTTGCTTTCTTTTTTCCCCTCTCTTTTGCCATCAGTGAAGGCGAGGTTTGCCGCAGCATCCAGCTGCGTGTGTGTGCACAGGGAGAGGCAGAGCGGCTCTCCACTGGGCATTTGTGCAGGAGGAACATCTCGGGTCAGCACATCGTGCCCAGATGCAGGCAGGGGTTACGGCACGTCGTAGGAGAGCTGCTTTGACGCAATCCGCCAGCCGTAAAAGCTGCCACCGCCTTTGGGTCTTTTGATCCTTAAGCACTGGAAATGTTTTCAGTTGGACAAAACTGAAGGAAGTCGCTGGTTTTGAAGTGGTGACAATAACTTCATTTTAGGAATGTTTTTAATCTGAGCTGTATAAATAAATAAAATTAATATTTCCAGCTGAATTGGTTAAAAAAAAGTCCTCTGAGAAGTTAGGGCTGCCTTCTAAAAAGGCAAAAAAAAATGGCAAAAAAAATCTGAGGCATCAGTTGGGGAAAAAAATAATCCTGAATCCTGGTAGACTGGAAGAGCACGGCACTCTGATGTGGTCAGGTCGGGGACTGTGATTGTATTTTTTTTTCCTGTTTCTAGACTATGAAGAATTAAGAGGATTCCTTTTTTTGCCATAAAGATGTCAACAGCAACAGCAGTGGTTAGCTGCTGCTTTTTCTTTCTGCTTCTCCGTGGGCTTGAATGCTGGCTTTTTGGGGGCTTTTTGCTCTTACTTGTTACCATTTAGATCTTCTAACATTGTCTGCCCCCTCATAATTATTCTTCACAGATAAAAATCTTGTGGGCTGTTCTTATTACTAACCTGCTCAGTTTTTTATGTCCAATTCTGTCTCTGAATCTATTGAACACTAATAAATGCAAATTTATTATAATTCCCCCCTAAACCCACGGTTTACTTATGGAAATTAGGTTGATACCTTGAAGTATCTAAGGGATGTAGAAATGAACCAATTTAACAGCAAAGCTGTTTCATAATCCATATAAATACGTGTTTTAGAGAGCTCTTTTGCTACTTATGCAGGTGTTGGCTTTTAAATGTTCTAAATCTTAGTATTTATCCTTTTCACTAATATTTCTTTTCTCTTTTTAATAGGTCATCACACAACGAACTAGAAAAACATAGGTAAGTCTTGAGAAAAAAAGCAAATGAAAAGTTGTGTGGCTGACGTTAGAATTACCACACTTACTGAAAAACGTTTTGTTGAAGTTGTTTTGATTCTGCACTGAACAGTTTATTACGTTGGGAGTTTTTTATCAACAAAAATCTAATAGATGTAATATTATTTGGGTTTTTTTCTGTTGTCTGGCATGCTATTTTTGAAACACCCCTGATAATTAGCTTTGGACTGATTAATGCTGTAACCAGTTAGCCGTACTGTTACTAATAAAGAAGCTGATTGCAGCAACTGTTTGCTAGAGGTGTTAAATGTTTTAAGTGCAATCAAAGTCTTTTGTGATTAAGGTGGATGATTTTTGGGGAACAGTGTGTCACAGGGGAGTTATTCTATGTTTTTTTTAAAGTATGTCTAAAGTGCAGTTAATTTTCGTCTTGCATGTAAGTACCTACAGATGTGTTCTTCCCCTCCTTGCTGGTTCATGTCCTGTACAAAGAGCTGTGTGTGAGCTAGAAATCAGCAACTCCTGAGCTGCAGCCCTGGTTCTGGATATCTAGCGCTGCAGAAAGCTACACTTACTTACCAAGGACGTTCATTAGACCCCTAAGACCTGGATTTTAAAGAACTCGGGTTTGGAGGCAGTGTTTACCGTCAGTTGTATCCTGTCAGAGCTTGTTTGCAGTGGTCTCTTTAGCTGTAGGAAGGCTCCTGGGGTGCAGCTGCTCTGAAGGTGCACACAGAGCTGCCAAGTGCAAAAGGTGCCCATCTTCACACTGGCTTTCGGCTCAGCCAGGGCACCCTCGCTGCGGGATCGCTGCCTTTCACTTGTCATACAAGCAGCAGGACAAATGCTTATTTCAGGTAGTTTTTAATTCTTTTTTTGTGTAGCTTTTGGCCTTTCAGGTTTCATGCATCCGAAGAAAGCAAGGGGTGTATGTGTGAATATGACTTGAACATATTTGCATGCTTCTCAACACATGCAATGTGGTTGATGGCACAAGATTGAACTCACTGGGTTGGTGTTTTTTGTGTGTTGTTCTGTGGCTGCAGTTATGTAGCAGCTAGACCATCACTTCCTTTGCATGCCTACATGCTTTCCTGTAGTTTAATTGTAATATGAGTAAATGATAGCCTTGCCTGATAGCCACGTGGTCATCCTAGAGATGAGAGGAGCTGGGGAAGGCTCAAGCTGACAGACACAGGCCTGGGCTGCAGAGTGCAGTGCATTGACGAAGGCAGCGGAGGCAGCTGGAGAGGTTCGGTGAAGCCGAGTCTTCAGGAAAATAACTTCATGCAAAATTCAGTCCTTCAGTCACACTTCTTTAAAAAAAAAAAGAATCTTTGGCCCCAGCTGTGCTTCTTTCTCTCATTTTTTCCCATCTTATTTCCAGATATTCTGTTCCATTTCTTCCTTTTCCCTTGCTCCATCATTATTGATTTGTCATAATCTAGACTGCATATTCCTTTTTAGTTTTCTAACCTGAGCATGGATTTGCCTCTTCTCCCCCCCTGCTCTGCTGTAACATGTTTCAGCAGTGCAGTAAATGAGGCACAGCAGCATTTGCAGCAGATGCAGGGGCAGAAGAAGGATCTATTAATTGTTCAATCTCTGTTCTCACTTTCAGTTCTGGGTTGTATCTTTGTAGTAGCTGGACCATACAGTATTTGCCTTGCTACCTTTTCTTTCTGTGTCATCTCAAGGTCAAAATTGGTAAACTGCGAGGTATGTCTTGTGATTATACAACGAACACTTGTAACTGCTGCTGCTGCTGCACCTCCCACAGTTACACTGTACCTGGAGTCAGATTTTATTATTCCTGTTGAGAACCTGCAAATTAGTGCAAGATCCTAGTGTGTACAGACAGGTGTTCCCAAAAGCAGATGAGGCGTGTACCGTGGTAGTTACCCAATGTATTGGTGCAAAGGGCTCTTTTAATTATTTTTTATTACAACCTCCTCCTCCAGCACTGTGGGTGTATGAGCTGGTAATACCGATTGTACTGGTTTTCACTCTGTTTCACTAAAACGGCATTAAAATCCATCGAGCACCTTGAAAAGCTTAGTGGAAGATTCACAGCCGTGGTGTGTCCCCGTAGCAGCTGGTCCTTGCAGCAGAGGCTGTGCTCTTCCCCCGCACAGCCCTGTGCTGCCAGCTGGGAAGCCCTGGATGTTGATTTTGGAGGTGTATCCTTTCCAGGACCAGCGCCTTTGACTCACCACAGCCATGATGCTGCTGGCTGAGGCACACTTGGTTATCTCACAGGATCCCGTCAAGAAGGAAGAGAGGAGATGGCTGCTCACATCCTCTGCCTTGCCCAGTCCCTCACGTGGTGTCTGTGGGCCGGACCAAGTGCTGGGAGGCAGGAAAATGGCTTCCTCTTTTTCAGGGTTGTGTGTCCTGCATGAGGGTGGCCGGAGCTGCCACTAACAGAAAGCCACAGTAGCTGTGTCCTGGTCCGCGGTGCTGTTCAGGTTCTGCATTGGTGCTGCACGAAAGAGGTTTTATGTCTGGTTTTGACGTCAGTGGGAATGGCAGAGGTTGATCTCTCTGTGTGTGCAGACTTGGCCGTTTGGCACCACCACTTTAATTTTCATTTTCTACTGCTGGGTCTCTTCTCTGCATGCTCTTGAGGGGATGCTCAGAGGAAGACAAACAGAAGCAGAGACATGATTCCAACAAAAACTCTCATTACATAATATAATTCAGACCACAGTTATGGTAAAGTGTTTGTCAGCAATTCATGCATAAAATTCCTTTTTCTCTGCTTTAAGTCTCCCTGGAATACCCTGCTCAGAAGTTCAGTGTGTGTTCATTATAGTGAGACTCGGTAAGGACCCATCCCTCTAATGGCAGTCCTGATTTGGTCCTGTGTGATTAAGGTTTGCATCTCAGAGCCGTGAAACAGGAAACCTCCTAAATAGAAAGGCAGGAAATCTTCTATCCTAAGGACAGATGCGGTCCTAGAAGATATTTTAATAATTACAGACAGGTCAATCAGAATGGCACTTGGATGTAATTAGTTTCTAATGTCAAATATATATGTATATACAAGTATATATTTTGTGTTATTGTTTCCAGCCAGAGCATTATATGAGTAGGCTTTCTCAGAGCAATGTAAATTGCATGTACGTTGGTATCCATGACTTTTTGCAAGGCAGTTTTTAAATCGGCCTAACCTGACAGCTGTATGGAGGGATTCAACTTTCATAGTGTTAAAAAAAAAGAAAGATTCCAAACCTCTTAGAAAGGCATGGCATAATGTTATTTATTTGCATCAGTTTATACTAGTTGTACATTACAGTGTAAAAACCGAGGTATGTCCCCCTGAAGATTGTACTGAGATCTTCGCAGCGCTCAGTGAAGGCAGTGACCCATCTGCCCTCTGCTACTCCTGTGTGCATGGGCTGCAGGAGGAAGTGACGCCTCACCACTGTGGTCCTTCCATCCTTGTGGGAAGCAGATGGAGCCCCGAGGAGGGGTGCAGGGATGGACCCATCAGTGGCAAAGCCATTTCACTCCTGCCTGGCTGTGAGGAGCTCTGCTGCAGGAGCAGTGCGAGATCTTGTCATTTCTGCAGCCAAGTCTTTGAAAATAGTGTGTGAAACACAGTTATTTTAATGAACAGCTTTTAAGATTTAGTGAGGAAATTAATAGAAGTGTGCCTCGAAATCAGCAGGCTGTCCCCAAACTGACACCGTGTGAGCCGAACAAGGGCCTTGGCTGGGTGGCCGTGGTATGGCTGGATCTAGATGGACAGTTACCTCCTGCCTCTATCAAACTGTTTGTGTTATTCTCTGTGGAGATTTTGGGTTTTTTTTAATTCCGAAGGTGAAAGGGGCAGATGAGCAGCAGTGAGAGTTGTCCTGCCTGCATTCCACAAAATAGTAAACTCCTGGCAAGCAGAGGGAGTATATTTAGAAGTGGGAGCTGATTGATGTCATTGGGCAGGATGGACTGGCGACCTCAAGCCCTGCAGTGCTCAGTGCTGCAGCACTGGAGTTGTGAGTGCTTTCCTGGTTGGAGGAACCAGTGGATCCCATCTGACATCCCCAGACGTTGGTTTGATGGAAGACCAGAATGAGGAATACATGAGACATCATGACTTCCAAAACCTTTTAGCAGAAGAAAGCAAACCTTTCCTTCTGCCTAAATGAGCCTAATGTGTGCATTGTTCACAGTGCTGATCCAGGGGTGACGGAAAGTGCTCCTGTGCATGCAGAAGGCAGTGCAGTCCTGAGGTTTGGGTAGTGCCTTGTGTATTCTTTAAACCTAAAATCTTGCCAGAAAAAAAGATGGTTACAGTGCATCATCATGTGTATGAAGTAGGTTTCTATATATAAATGCTGGTTTTGATGAAAAACAGATGTATTTTTGATGGGAACATTATGATGTACAGTATTAGCTGATGAGAGCAGGTGCCTCTGAAGTTAAGTTCTAATCAGAGGTCCGTCTTCTCATGACAGAAGTGCAGACGAGTGCAGGAGCGCAGTTACATTCATTGGTACATTAATCTCACCCACCAGAGTTACTTGGAGTTTCAAGTTCGTATAAGCTGAGAGAGCGCACAGATGGATGTCTTGAAATCCTGTCTGTGGTTCTTCATGTAACTGAACTGCAGGGTTAACGAAAAGCACGTAATTGCCAGTTGCTGATAAACTTGGAAGTTTTGAAACAGAACGGAAAGGTCATTGAAATAATAGCATACCAAAACAATGCTTAATGTTTATTTTTATTATGGGCTGCCTTTTCAAAATCACAGATTACCGTTGCCGTTAGTACCATTGTGCAGCATAAGGTTATAACTGCACCGATCCATCACGTTGAATGGCCACGGTGCTGAGGAGATCCCTGACTGCTGCTGAAGATAAAGCACCTCAGGGAAGGGTCACCCAGGATGTGTCTGGCTGCTCTGCTGCCATCAGGACTTACCCCGGCTCTACGCTGCTGCTGCTGGGCCCTGCCAGCGCGGGAGGAGGGGAGATGCTTGCTGCTTCAGCCCCTTGGTTT